ATTTTTATTTTTGCATAGAATTGTATAATATTCTTATAATGTATATATGTCGCAGATTTTGTCATAAAACCTGGTTATTGACCAAAAACCTGGGATTATATTGTCTTATGATAAAATCAATATCTGTATCTATTTCTTTAAATAATTAAATCAATTAAATATAAATATATATAATAAATAAAAAATAACCTAACCTAACCCTAGCTTAAACTTTATCAAAAATATAAACAAGTTCATGTTTTCTGTCAAAAAATACGATTTTTCCTGATAAGATTAAGTAATAACTTTATTTTGTTCCTGTCCTTGACCAAAAGCCAAGGTTTTTAAACAAAAACCTGATTTACCATTAACTTACGACATATAGATCATTATAGCACGTCCTCTTTAATTCTTGAGTCGTTGGGTTCTCCCTATGCTTATATATGTATATGTAAGTTTCATTGAGGGTAATATGCAAAGAGAATATAATCACTAGGTTCAAGAGGCGGGACTCCGTAGACAGAGAAACCTATAGGCTAATGATTAGCGTGGCCTCGAGTGAGAAAGGACGATAACGTAGTTTTAGGTTATACAATAATCTTTATGAATTTTAAACATATTTAGATAAAATGTTTAATTGTTCTTAGAACTGAACTGTACAAGATTCACCAATCTTATGCTCACAAAACAATTTTTTTCTCACTTAAACCAACTTGTAAACTCCTTAGATCGCTACGAACTGTCAAAGTTGTTTATAAAAAAACGGCAAAGTGTAGTTTGCTAAACAAAAAAACCGGCACGGAGAAAGGGACAAATAATGACACCGCTCTGTCTCATTTCTATGCAAGACGTGTGCTTAAATCTATCTTTTTCTTGTGCGAATGCAGAAGAAGGCGTCAATTTGTCTATAGGTTTCTCTGTCTACGCGGGACTCCCTGAGTAAAAGTATAAACGTAGACAGAGAAATCTATAGACTAATGATTAGCGTGACCTCGAGTGAGAAAGGACGGTAACGTAGTTTTAGGTTATACAATAATCTTTAATATGTCTTTTAAACATATTTAGATAAAAATTTTAATTGTTCTAAGAACTGAATAGAAAAAGATTTACCAATCTTAAGCTCACAAAACATTTTTTTCTCACTTAAACCAACTTGTAAACTCCTTAGATTGCTACGAACTGTCAAAGTTGTTTAGCAAAGTGTAGTTTGCTAAACAAAAAAACCGGCACGGAGAAAGGGACAAACAATCACACCGCTCTGTCTCATTTCTATGCAAGACGTATGCATAAATCTATCTTTTTCGTGTGCGAATGCAAAATAAGTCGTCAATTTGTCTATAGGTTTCTCTGTCTACGGGTATAAATGTATGAAAGTGCGCCAAACTACTCTACCAACATCAAGACATGATATTTGTGTTTTGAAAAACAGTGCTGACTACATAGGTGAATTATATTGGTGCTGTAAATGTGTCCTTGAATAATTTTATCGATATAATGTAATAATAATAATAATTTATTTGACTCTCAATTGACTGGTTACACTTATGTATTATATCTATTTTAAATTACAAAATTACATTTCAAAGTAGTTGTCATTAACGGCCATACTAATATGGACTGTGTTACAGCCGTCAGCGTCTTCCACCCTGAGTAGTAACTTAACTTAACTTGCCTAACTGCAAAATCATTTCGTACGCCGACGATACGGCTTTAATTGTTTATGGTAAGGACTGGAATGAAGCTCAACACATTACATAATATGCGCTTGGTAGGGTCATGCGGTGGCTTAGTAGCAATCTCTAAACAAAACTAAATATATTACTTTCACTCACCGTGCCAGTACCTAACCATCAGCGGAATTTTATATCAAAGCACATACATGTGAACAACATAGCATATGCAACCACCCAAAACTTACTCGTTCCACTAACATAAGGACACACAATCTCGGACTAATCATTGACTACTGCCTATCTTAGTCAGAGCATATAAGCAAATTAACCTGCCGTATTAGAAAACTAATACCAATATTCAGAAAATTGAGGAATTCTGCTGATTTTGAAACATTGTTATGTGTATACTATGCCCTTGTTCAGAGTTTACTACAATACTGCATTGTAACCTGGGGTGGAATTGGAAAAACAACTCTACTCCCCCTAGAATGTGCTCAAAGAGCAATTTTAAAGGTAATGCTAGGTAAATCACAAAGACATAGCACCGAACTTATTTTTAAGGAATGTTCTGTACTTACTGTAAGACAGCTTTTTGTCATGTCTGTTATACTACGTTAGCACAAACAGATTTTAAACCTAATTTAAAACGTAACACAAATAGAATTTTCGACATGGTTTCACATAGAACTGCTTTAACCCGTCGTCAATGTCACTCAAATCAATGTCACTATCAATTATTTATATAATGTAGCAAATAAAGTAAACAATATTTACCCTTTGTCCCCTAATAAATACAAAATTAAAATTCGAAATTGGTTGCTAAGCCTTAATAACCTGGAAACAGAGGAGTTAATCAGTATTTAAGTTCTAACACACACACACACAATCACACACATTCACACAAATACACCCTAACGCACACATTCGCACACACAACCACACACACTACACACACACACACACACACACACACACGCGCACACACACACACACACACACACACACACACATACACACACACACACACAGGTTTGTGGTAATTGAAAGTTTCCTCTTAATTTTTTTATTTGATTATGAAGTTAACATGTTTGTGTATTATATAGTGAATTAATCTGTTATTTTTTACTGTATTTGTACTGTACTACTAAAGTATTGACGTAAACTAGAAAGAGAGTTGGGCCTAGTACACTGCCTTGTGGTACACCAAACGAGACAGTAGTAGGTAAATTAGTGTAATCACCGATTATAACTAACTGCGTGTGATTAGATAGATAAAATCAAAATATATTTAAAACAATCCGTCGTACGCCGATCAATTCCATCTTATGAAGAAGTAGGGGAATAGAGACAGTGTCCAAGGCCTTTGACAAATCAAAAAAAAACATCTATAACTTTCAACTTATTATCAAGATGTTTTGCAATTTTCTAAATTATAATTAGTTACATCTTCAGAAAACTTACCTTTCACAAAGCCAAATTGATTGTCTGAAATAACATTGCAATGTTTGAAAAAATTTGTGAGTCTGAGAATTATAACTTTTTCAAGTATTTTGGCTATCGGACTTAGTACAGATATGGGCTTGTAATTTTTAACACTGTCTCTGTCACCACTCTTATGTGTAGGGTGAACTAAAGTCCTCTTTAAAATATCTGGACAAACACCGGTTTTTAAACAAAGGTACCCAAATATGTTATGGGAAGAATCAGACTGTTTTGGCACGTTTTATGACTAGAGTAGGTATGCTATCGATTCCCGTGGCTGAATCATTTTTTAAGTTTGTGATAATAGCTTCTATCTCGTTATAGTCTGTGTCAAGCAACACCATATATTTATGCAAGAGGTTAGATTCATCACAATCTTTAACGATTTTAGGGTGGCCAATGTGTTGCTGAGTTTTTAATATTGAGTTAACATAAAATGGGCCAAATTCTACAAAGTAATTATTAACAATATATGTGTATATGTGGTGAATATTGATTGAGGTTAGTGATCTTATTTATAGTATTCCAAGTACCCTTTGGATTGCGTTTATTTTTACAGAACTCGGCTTTCCCATAAGCGGTTTTAACTTTTTTCAACAAATTGTTGCAAAAATTGCGATACATCGTGTAAGTAATCTGTAATATTGCATTGTTTTTATCGCGCTTTGCTTTCTTGTGCAATTTGTCCCTGTGTCGTATACAGCGTACCAATCCTGGAGTTAGCCATGGATTGATACAACGTTTACGGTGAGGAATTTTTATTTTATTGGAATGAGCAGTTATGGCAGCGGTATAATAGTATTAGTTAAAGCGGTAGCTGCTTCATTGGCATCCTTGATATTGTATATAAAGCTAAAATCTGTATCAGATAATTGTTTTAATAGTGATGGATAATCAATTTTGAATGTTGTGGTTTTAGAGGGATACCTTATAATTTTGCAATCTAAGTGAAACACTATTGGAGCATGATTAGTAAATAAATGAGTCCAGTATATATGTTGCAGAATATCTATCTGATCCTAACATTACGTGGTCAATACAACTTTCGTTACGAGTGGGGATTAAATGATCTGTTAAATATCCGCGGAGTGCCATTAAATCTAAATATTTACTGCTATTAAGGTCATTATTATTAGGAGAGATATTTATATTGATATCTCCAATCAAGATAACTGATCTTACAGAAACTAAGGATGCAAGACAGAGATCAAGGCTATCACAAAATTTATTAATATTTTTTTGTGAAGGTGACCGATATATAGCTAAAATGGCATATTCATTGTCATAATTTACAATAAGACCATTCGCATCAGAAATTAAAGGTTTATGTACACTATGCTTTATTTCAGTTGTTGATATGATATATATATATATATATATATATATATATATATATATATATATATATATATTTGAGTAGTATAGGTTTGATTACTATACTCAGAAGAATGAGATGTATATCCAGCAATTTCAGATATAACTGATAATTTGCTTAGCCAGCATTCCGTCAGTACAAGGACATCGCATTGAATACAAATTCTTTCCAATAGTATGGCTAATGTATATCGATATATTGTTTATTGATATTTTTATTTAATAAAAGATAGATCTCTATACTAATTCATAAGAAATATAAGTTTTTATGTGGGGAGAGAGTAAAAATGCCGACGAAGATAAGAAATCAACGTATTTTACACATAAAATTTGTAATAATATCTCTAAAATTAGTCGGTATGATGAGTAAATTACTGGTACAAGTTATTTTGCCTTATAGATAAGGAAAAGAAAGACAATTGGAAATACCCCACATGAAAAAGTAAATAAAGGAAGTTCGACAATACTAACACCCCTGTAAAAGGCTGTCGTATGGATTCGCTTTCATCTGCATCTGATCAGATAACCGAAGACTCTGAAGAATGTAATTTAACTCAACGTAAACCGCTAATCCCAGAGAAACAACCATTATTCCCTGGTTCTTCTTGTATCATGGACGATAAGGTTTTAGTCAATATTATACGTCGAGAAATACAGCAGTCTGTGACGGAGGCTGTTGAATCAGCCGTCAAGATGTATTTTTCTAAGGAGTTCGATGAAATTAAAAGCGAATTGGCTACCTTACGAGAAATCGGTAAAAGTTTGGAATTTCTTAGCTCTCAATATGACTGAATGAGTTCTAACATAAAAAATTTACAGGATCGACTTACCGTGATTACTAAAGAGAATTTAACGCCATCCAGTCAAGCATTATAGTTCATAAAAGATAGCTTGATCTTTGCGACAGCTGTCAGTAAAATCACGCCTATGAAGTCCTGAATTTCTTAGTAGTACAGACAGTACCTGTCAATGTCATACTTTATGGGCATGCCGACCTAATTAGTGCATGCTCATGTGTACTACTAAGAAATTCAGGTAGTATCTGACCTAATGGATATCTCAGATAGACCTAACCTCATGGAACAACACTAGCGCGAAACGAACATTGAGAATCAAACAGCGTTCCGGAAAATAAGTCCGAAAATTTGCTGTCCTTAGCGAAACAACTTTGCTCTACTATTCCCTTTGATGGACGCAAAAGTACTATCAGACGCTAGAGTTAGAAAAATGAATGATAATGATCGTCTCCGTTCCATCATAATTAAATTGCAGTCCACAATAAAACGTGACGCAATATTGGCTGCGGTTTCCAGTTTCAATAAGAAAAACACAACGGATAAACATAATTCTTCTCATTTGGGATATGGTGGGAATAAATCACCCGTATATGTTTCTGAACATTTATCCCCTCAGAACAAAAAACTACATATTAGCACCAGAAACAATGCACGTGAAAAGGGTCATAAATATGTTTGGATCCGTAATGGTCGTATTTTTATGCGAAAAGTAGATCATAGCCCTGCGAAACAAATAAAATGCCATGACTCTTTGAAAAACTTGTAATTACATAAGTTGATATGCCATATTACTAAGACCGTAACTGTCAAAATATAATTCAATATATGTTATCAAAATTTCCGAGGTCTGAAAACTAAGACGGACAACAAGAAACTTTCTTCACTGGTTACCCATTATGATATAATAGTGGGAAATGAAACAGGGTTGACGACACAGTATCAGGACAGGTATCGGTGCTAAAAATAATAGCCGGTGAACTATTCGGCGCAAACCTCAATGTTTATAGACATGATCGTAATTCTACCCACCTCGCTGGCAAGCGAGGCGGAGGTGTCCTGGTAGCAGTATCGAAGAAACTGTACTCTAAAAGAGTTAACCACTTTGAGAGCTGTTGATGGGTAATACTTGTGGGTTTCGATGAGAGTTAATATTAATGGTAAACTCTTGGACTGCTTGTTTTGTGTTGTATACTTGCCCCCTCCGTTAACTAATAGTTCATTAGATGGATTTCTTGACAACTGCAATATTGTAATGCAATCATGTAATAACGACACATAATATTGGGCGATATTAATTTGAATTTTTAGGATTGGATTACCGATGTTACCAATTCCGTAAACAAATTAACCCCTAACTATTATTGCTGTAATTTGGGATTTCAGTTTATTGACTTCTTGTCTTTAAACAATTTATCACAATTTAATGCTGTGAAAAATGCTAATAACAGAACCCTTGACCTTGTTTTAAGTAATCTTAAGGATATAAATGTTGCCGAATGTCCATGTCCAATAAGTAAAACTGATCGTCATCATCCTGCTTTAGAGATAAATGTAAATATGTCAGTACCGCATTTGTTGAATAGTAAATCCTTTGCTACTCACAATTTTAAAAAGGCTGATTATACTAAAGTAAAATCTAGGTTAAGTAAAGTTGATTGGGGTTTTGAATTTAGTGATTGTCAAGAGGCCAATGTCATGGTATCTAGGTTTTACAAAATACTTTATTCCATTACTGATGAAACTGTACCCAAAACGAAGCCGCATTTTGAAGTTTCCTATTTGATTTACGCCGAACTTAATTAAACTGATAAAAGAAATAGAACAGACCCCGATTAAAGCACAAAATTTACAAAAATCCAAGAGATACATTAGAACTTAAGCTCTTAAATTACCGGGTTAAGTCGTTGGCCTCTAAGAATTATTTAGATTATATACGGGAAATCGAAAAATCCATTCAGTTTAATCCTAAAAAGTTTTGGTCGTTCGTCCGTCATCGTAAATCCTGCGATTATTGTTTTCCAGAAGAAATGTACCTAGACAATCTCTCGGCTAATAGTGGTGAGGGATATGTAATCTTTTTGCTCAACATTTTTCATCTGTGTTCTCCCAACCCAGGTGTACTGCAGCTCCTGTATTTTTCGATGTGTATCCACAAAGTTCTTTGCATGATATAGAAATAACAGAACGTAAAATCCTGAGTATACTCAAGTCACTAGATATCTACAAAGGAGCGTGTCCTGACGGTATTCCTCCTCTTTTTATAAAAATGACATCAAAATATCTTACTCTTCCTCTGAAACTAATTTTTAGTAAATCGTTATTAACCAGGTCTTATCCAACTGACTGGAAACGTTCCAATGTTATACCTATTTACAAGAAAGGAGATAAAAATAATGTAAAAATTTATAGACCGGTTTCTATTTATAAGTTTATTTTCAAAGATATTTGAACGCTTAGTTTATCCAAGTTTAACAAATCATCTAAAAAATTATCGTAGAGGCACAACACGGGTTTTGCAAAGATAAGTCTACTGTTAGCAACGTCTTGAAAGTTGCAAGTGCAATGGATTTTTCTAGTGCATTTGATATCGTGGACCATCAATTACTTATTTCTAAATTAAATTAATACGGTGTGCATGGGAATTTACTTCGTTGACTAAATTCTTATCTTAAAAATAGATTACAAAGTATCGTATTCTTGTATTGCATGGATATAGGTCTAATGATTATGTGGCTCTAACAGGCGTACCCCAAGGTTCACATATTGGTCCTATTCTTTTTTTGGCATTTATTAATGATATAACACATAACATTAAGTATAACCACTGTTCCATTTTCGCCGACGATTTAAAATTGTTCAAGGCTATTAAAAACCAGGATGATGTTCTATCTTTACAAAATGACCTTGATGCTATCCATGAATGGTGCAAAAGTAAAAAAATGAAACTTAATCCTCGTAAATGTACCTATGTTAAATTCACAAAGAATAAATATACTGTTAAATCTTGTTACTTCATTAATAAAGAGGTAATGAGTGAATCTTCATCCACCCGTGATCTTGGCGTCATTCTTGATAACAAACTTAGCTTTATAGAACATATAGATAATGTGGTAACGCGTTCATGGAAAATGTTAGGTTTCGTCAAACGTACATGTAAGGATTTCAAAAACTCTCAGACTCTGATAACTATCTATAATGCATTAATTCGTAGCAGTTTAGAATATTCCTCGGTAATATGGAATCCTTCTTATAAAATTCAAATTCACAAAATCGAGCGTATTCAACAAAACTTCACTCGATTCATTGCATATAAAGTTCAAAACTGTCCATACTATAAAGATTATAACTCTAGGCTTTCTCATCTTGGAATGAGTTCACTGGCTGGCCCACAAAAACTTTTAGACTTAATGACGCTACATAAACTTCTATACGGTAAGTTAATTTCGCCAAGTTTACTACAGCAAGTGTGCTTTAAAATCCCCTATCATATTCCTAGACACCCAATTACTAATTTGTTCAATATTCCCATCGGTAGAACCAATTTAGGCAAGTTTCCCCCGTTAAACAGATGCACGCGAACTTACAACAGCTTATACAATCATGATATCGACATCTTTAGCGACCCCGAACGTGTATTTAAAAGAAATTGTAAAGACTTACTGTTACCTGCCTTACCAGATTAATGATTCAAAATTATTATTTATTGTAATTATTATTGGATGTGGTGCTTTTACTTTGATTGGTTAGTTTAATTTCTTTTTGTTTTAGAGTTTATATGTTGTTTAGTTTTTTTTTCTCTTATAATGATGTATACACCTGGAAAGACATATCCTTTATCTAAAAATGTAGTATTTTGATTGTAACAATGTTTATTGATATTGTCGATGGTGTATCTAGTCAAGATTCGAAATTGACTCAGGACGCTTTTAAAAAGACTTCATTTAAAACTTATTACTACGGCACTGAAAATTTCGGGAATCAAGGAAGTGACACAACATTACTATTTAAAAATGTATTTATTGCTTTTCGAAGTATTCTTCGCGAAATTTGACACATTTTTCCACACAACGGAACCAATCAATGAAGCAACCATTCCATTTGGAAGTTGAGGTCTCCAAAATGGCCGTTTTGTAGGCGTTCACAGCTTCTTCAGGTGATGAAAATCTCTGTCCACGCACGGGTATCGTACGCAATATATCCAGGATTCGTCACCTGATACGATGTTGTATACAGCATTTGAGGATCCTGCGTGGAATCCTTCGAGAGTTCTGACGCACCAAGTAACGCGAGCCGCTTTTTGCTCTTCACAGAGCGAATGCGGTATTCATCGGGAAAACAACTTTTTTACACCTAATTGTTCATGCAAGATTATTTTTGTTTGACTCATGCCAATGTCTAAAGTTGCCTGAATTTCGCAGTATGTCACATGTCGATCTTCCTCAATCAGCTTACGCACAGCATCAACGTTTTCTTAGGTGACTGCAGTTTTTGGACGACCTTGACGGGGATCATCACTGAACTTGACACGTCCATGTTGAAATTCAGCAAACCAGTGATAAATTGTGGTTTTGGATGGGGCTTCATCACCAAATGCAGAAATCATCCGGTCAACACACTGTTTTTGTGTTAAACTACTTCAAAAGTCATAATAAACCATCGCTCTTGAATTTTCTCGAGTCAATTCCATTTTCTCAACGACTAAACAAGTTTGACAAAACCTTGTGACAAGACCGAGAATCTATTTTAAATAAATAAATGGTATTCGATTTTTAAAACCAAAGAGTTTTCAATTAAAAAGATTTTAATATGACAGGAATAGTGGAAATATTCCATTCCCGATACTTTTAGTGCAGCCTAGGTATTAATGTGCGATACATTAATACCACTTATATACTACTTAAATAATCCGCGATGGATTCTAACTTAAAGCTACATGTCCGATACATGTGCGAGCTTAACTAAGACTACTCTAATTCTTATTCTAGATCTTTAAGC